ATTATTTCTTTATTGCGTATTTCTCCCCACATGCTTTACAAAAAAAACCCTCATCTGCAGGAAGCTGAGATGTACTCAGCACAGACATAAAATTTCCCAGGTTCCATACTGACTGCTCTTAGTTTATAACTCACATGCCTTGATAGCAAAGACTGCAGTGAGCATCCAGATTGATGGGAATGGGTTGTCCTAGTTGGGATGAAAAGATCTTTGTCAAAAAGTTGGTTTGAATGTCACCCATGGTGCAGATAAAGTACTTTTTACACACCAAACCTACCTTTGTCTCTGCTCTCTCGTAAGCCTGTGATTTGTGTTCGGCTCTGACTTTGTGAGCTCGTGCTCTGGTGGACTACAGTTTGTCTAGGCTCCAAGACTTCTTGTTGTCTCAACTGTAAATTAGATTGGTTATGTCTTTTTCATTTAATCCATCCGGAGATCATGTTGATCTTTCAGTAATTGAAGTCAACATGTAATTGAAAAACTGAGATAACAGGGAAGACTTATTTAGTTTTTCCCACCTTTTAGGGTTCAAATCATTATCTTATATCAAAACATTGTAAGTGACTTGCCTGCACACACAGCGAATGCATTAATACAGAGCAGTCGCAAGATATTTAATTTCACACCCAGCTGCCAACATGATTAGAAAACAAATGCAACATTGACACAGTCTACTTCTTGAAGAAACATTACCAGCCTGGAGATATGCAAATGATTAATGAGGACTGCTTCAAGGTCAGGCTCTCGGGCAATTTACATTTAACATGGCCAATGGCAAAATAAATCCATTTCCCAACCTTAACCTCTTTCACAGCTTAACATGCAATGAAGTGAGCCAACAAAGATGTGCATACTATACTGACAGACTGACTCACGGGGGGTATCGAGAGGCTACATCCTCCCACACTCTTGAATGTATCCTATGTATGGGGAATCAAATGCAAAAAAAAAAAGTGACAGATATAGAGCAATAGATGAATAACTAAAGCCCCCACAGAACTGGGTGCCAGGCAACAGATGCTGATAACTGCTTCAGATTAGGTCCTAGATTGTCACCGGCTCCCGCCAAGACTCTGGTGTTATATTTACCACTCCCTCTTTCTATCCCTCTATTATGTCTGGCATCTATGATGGAGCGCCAGGTGTGAAATGGAGATGAAATATTCATTCTGAATACCAGAATACTTTCACTTAAATGGGAACTGACACTGCAAAAATAAGAGGGATTGAAGTTTTGTAGTATATCCATTCAAGTTTGATTGGGGCTCCAGTAGTTGAAGGCTGAATACAGTATGGTTGGAGGAAACTTTTGAAACATTTTCTTCTGAACCTGGAACAGCTTTCATATTGCCGACAAGGCCCCAATTTGAGCATAACCTTTGGGGGAAATGTCCTTTATCATTCAGCAGCTATTTTGAAAGTCAAAGTGTATTTTTCTTTTCATGATGTTCTCTCTGTGCCGAGCTAAATGTCAATGTTCAGTTAAGACGTGGATTTAGAAACTCTCTGAAAGCCAGGATACCTCTGGAAAAATAAGCTGTGGACAAAAACACCCCAGCCAGCGATTAAGTCTATAGAGATAAGAAAGGGTGTTGGGGAAGATGTGAGTGGAAAAAGTACAAAGGACAAAAAAAAAGCTATGCTGATGCAACAAAATGTTCAAAATGTTGAGTTGTTGGATATGTAGGACTGCAGGGTTTTAGCAGTAAGCTGTCTTGTGAGTTGTTACACATTAACAACCTAGATTGTTTATGAGAAATACACAAAAATGAAAAAGAAAATGCAAAGAATACAGTAATATTTATCCAGTGGAGCATGTATTCAGATCCTTTACTTAAGTGACCATACTAAAATATTAACAATTCTAGTAAAACCCTGCTTTTAAAATCTCACTAATGTAATAAAAACTAAAAGTATGCATAATGCAAAAAAGGATCCTTGTACTATTGTGTATCATGGGATTATTGATGCGTTAATGTGCAATTAGCATTTTCCTGCTGTAGCTGGTCATGGCGCTGTTAATTTTCAATGTTTTATGTATTAAGTAATTCAATCAACAGCACAATATATTTTATAAACATATCATACAGACCATATGACAAATCTGTAGTAAATGCAGTGGAGTAATACAGTGTCAGAATCAGCTTTACTGGCCAGGTATGTTGAACACACAGGGAATCTGACTCCAGTACAGTGGCTTTCAATGTCCTTCCATATAATATTTCCCTCTGAAATGTAGTGGAGAAGAAGGAAAAGAATTAAAGCAGCTGGAAATTGAAATACTCAAGTACAGCAAATTCGTAGTTGCTGAATAAATATTACACATGAAGTGTAAAAGTGTATGCCAAATATGCCCACATTTTTGTTTGTGACTAAACAAAAATGAATTGAAATCTTTGCACTGTAATTTGTTTGGTAAAGGGAGACAAGGACACAAGACAAATACTCCAAGGACACAGATTCTCCACAGCAGCCAGTCAACAGGCTGAACAGAGGAGCTTAATTGAAGAGCCTGAAATAGAGGCTCTCTATTAGGACTGAAGAGGCTCCCTGCACCAGCAGCCTATCCAGAGAGACAATTTTCTGACTTTGCACTCTGTATAGCCTCAAGATAGCAGGAGCGAGAAAAAAGAGACACAATTATCAAATAGCCAAATGATGCTGCATAGTCATGAATAGGATGCTCTTTTGTGTGTGCTCTGACAATTTAGCACTGAAACAAGGTGATACAATATCTTGAAACTTTAAAACAAATTGCTGTAAAACAGACCAACGTGCACACAAGAGTTTCCAGCAACAAGACTACAGTGCTATAGTTTAAATCACAGTCTGAGTATTTGGCTTATCTGAAGAGATTTATCATGAGTGTATCAGTGGAATAACTTTTATTGCTGTGCTGTCAAATACAGTTACTGTGAAATCTGTCTATATCTATCCCTGCATGATACGATAACTGACTGAGTTGTGTGAGCATTGCACTCTACTGGCAGCTGTAGTGTATTACAGGAAGGGCTCTACCTTGCATATGAAGCACCCTTAAATTTTCAGATCTACAGCACAGTGAATAGCACATGATTTTTGTCATATGGCACCTGGAGCTCTGCATCTCACAGTCAACAACAAAAACACCAACACAGCTGCACCATCCACAGTTATAGAGTTAGACTCTTACAGTTGTGTTGTTCCTGAACACTGCTAATAAGATACAGGAGTTGCAAAGTCAGTGTGGTTGTCAGTCTCTTAGTGTCATCCCTGTGATAGACTGGCGGCCTGTCCACGGTGTACCCTGCCTCTCACCCATTGTCAGCTGGGATTGATTCCAGCTGACAATGGGTGAGCCCTTCTTCCATCCAGGACTGTACACAGACAAAGCTCTCTCCCATGCTGCAAGCATCCTGGGTCTGGTGGGTCCCCATGTTCATCGGTGCCCCCACCTACCAGAGAACTTCAGCGTCTTCACCCTGGGGGCTGGGAAGAAGATGGCACGCTGCAGAGTGGAGCTCCCCACACAGCCCTCTGGTTGGTTTATCATCTAGGGGGAGGGTTGGTCCCGCTTCCCCTAGCTCGAACTGACCTGCTCACAGTTCTGGATCAGCCAGCTGGTTGGCTGGTGCCAGTCCTGGGTCTCCCTGCAAAGCCGGGGTGGTGTTGACTGGGCATGGTTCCTCTGGCTTGCCTGGCAGGGACTACTGGCTCCATTGGCAGTCTTATGTTGGTGGGCCCATGCTGAGAGCGGGGTGGCAGGCAATTCTCCAGCAGCTGTGGAGCCTTCTGCTTCAGGCCATGCCACCTCCTGTGGCTCTTACCACTTCTGACACCAGTGAACCGTAAGCTAGCGTGAGGAAGGAGCCGGAGACTGGAGGTGCCTTTTTTACCCCTCTGGCAACAGCACAGCAACAACAGAACCAGGCACACACACACACACACACACACACACACACACACTGAACCCCGCCAAAACTCAGAACTATTTACATCCTGTTCCGTGGGGCATTATGGGGGATCCTGCTAGGTGCTTTCCCCCTAAGGCATTCTTTGGAACCTGCCAAGTGTCTCTCCACTCCCAATGCTACAATATTGTACTATCAGTACTTGTGCACATCAGCTTAAGTACAACTGTGAAGGGAGAGGTTTCACCTAAACCTGATTATTTTGTGCACTGTGTTATTTCTAGTTTTGCATAAACAAACGATGTGTATACTTTCTCCACCTTCCTCCATAATATACTCAAGGCTGAAATTTGAAGCTACAATTCAAATAGCATAATCTTAAACCAAATAAATGTGTCAAATATAAAATATTTATTACAAACATATTATACAGTAACATTTTCATCACTTATGCCCTGTACAATCTTGTCCAAAAGTATAAAAACATGCTTGGGACATACAAAGGTTGTTCTTGTTATTAAGCCTTCAACTTTCTGAAATATCACATTTATAAACAATGCCCAGAACTATGAAACATCACCCTATCTCCAGGTTTCCTGTTTATACTAGTTATGTATGCACTATACTAACTGTTAAATAAATACTACTTGTTCATACCTTTATGTTAAACTTCAATCTGTATTCTTTTGTCTGTAAACGTATTGTATTTCTGTGCTCTCTTTACATAGGTCTAATCTGTAAAATAACTGTATTCGGTTTATGCATTTCAGTTTTTCCACAGTTTTGTGAATCTTCCCTTTTTTCTTAAATCTCACGTTGATCTACTTGTGTACAGTATTTAGGTTGATCTGTCTAGCTTATTACCAAAAACACACGTTGAGTCTAATTTCGTATAGCGAAGTATTTGTAAAGTTCTTAACTACCTTGTATTCTTTAAGAGGAGGCAGTGACTAAAATAACATTAAACAAAGACTCCAGCCAAACTCCTAGAGGTGGGATGTCTCTGGCCCTGCCCCTTTTGCCAAAAGCTCGTTTTTTATTGGTCGTCTGCCGGGGCTGTTTCTCGGCTATTGGCTGGTTTGGCTGTCTGTTAGAGCAGTACTTGTCCGTTCAGTGTTCCACAGCGACGGAATCAGAGGACGCAAAATCAAGTGAAACAACAGGACGACAGGAGAAAAGTTCATGCTGGACTTTTCAAAGATTTCAGATATCAACATGAAGGTAAGAAGCCTACAGAAAACGCGTTTATATGGATAGTGTGACGTTAGAGGCGATAATTTACAGTGTTTCGCCGTGTTTTAGACACTTTTGCTCAGAAAAAAAAAGAAAAAAGATGCAATTGTTAGCTGAAGTCGCCAAGTCTACAGGCCGAACTGTTTGGTCTGGGTCTTTCTTAAAATCAAATGACAAGAGGATGTGCTTTGTGCAAAAAATGTCCTAAAACACTTTAAACTTAGACTATTTATCGCTTCAGCGAAGAAGAAAACCGACAGTGACATGTCATCTTCTTCTTCACTCAGGCACTGATGACCGTCTGATCTTCATCATAGAGCTTCTTGAATCAATTTTACAGTGGCTCGAGGTGTCAAATAACGCCTTTTTAAATCCAATACAGTTCAGTGTATCCGTATTTAATATGTTTTAAGACTAGGCCTTAAGCAAGTGGTGTAGGTAGGAAGCTAAGTGAGTAAGCAAGTAGACTACACAAAAATTAGGTTGGTTACCAAATCCAATTTAGGCTCCAGACATGCTGCAGCCTTATAGAAGGCTGGAAACTGACCAGACCTCTCAGGCTGTACTTCCCCTCCAGTTGACCCACATTTAGTATCAGAGTCTGTGAACCCTAGAGGTTTCACAGTGTGTGATATGAATCATACAAAATCATACCGTTTCTTATAATTTCAGAGATAAGGCAGTTTGCGGAACTGAACAATGCAGTGCCTTAATTTTAAGTGTACTTAAACTTACTTGGCACCTATCATCATAAAGTAGTTCTACTACATTCTAAAATACTCTGGATATTATTAGTAGGCCATGACTTGATGAGCAAACTGTCTTCAGATTGAAAACAAAGAATATTTAATGGGCCTTTTGTCTGATCTGGGTGACGAAGGTTTATTTTCACCTTAACATCTACACAGAGAGTACAACCAGCTGCTCACAAACCAAGGGTCTCTTTCCAGTGGTGCAAAGCACATGTTTTTGCAATAAACTCTGCTGTGTTTTCCATAGGTTTACAGTGTTGCAGACAAGGTACATGGCTATCCAGGCTTAAAACAAATGTGGATAAAAGGATTATTATAAGTGGAAGTGGAGCTACCAGAACATGTGGGAATATTTGTATTTCCCATGCTATCACTCCCCGTTTGTATACCCTTATGATTACTAGCTCAAACTCAGGGGATTAGGTAAAGTAATATTAAAATGAAGAGGGTCTAAAGAAGCTTGACAACACATGTAGGCTCCTGCTGAGCTAGACATTTATCATAAGACAGTGCACACTTTTCTCACAGTGATTACAGCAGCCTGTGAAATTAGCAAGCAAGACTTTAAACCAAAACCAAGGGAGGTGTGTATTCTGTAGTGTATTTAGCATTTTTATCCGTGTGGTTAAGCCACAACCATGAGTGCTGGTGAAGGCAGAACGAAGATACTGTGTGCTTTCTTTGTGAGAGGATGGTGCTGCAGGAATTAGGCTGTACAGTAGGTGCACTTCACCAGGGCCATGCTCATTCCTCTTCTCACTTCTGCATAGTGCTCTACATGAGTGCCAGTAAAGTTTTGCGAATGCCACAACAGTAATATATTTTTTGATTATTTTATTTTTGTGTTGTTATACTGTTATTGCTGTTTTGTGCATTTGAGAATGGGCACCGTTATAAATGAGAACTTGCTCTCACTCAGATTTTTTGTGGAAATAAGGGTTGACGATAAGAGTGATGATGATGGTATTAAAGATCCCTGGGAAATATTGTAGTTAAAAGCTGAAATATAAAGGCTGGTGGCTCCTGCCTGTCATTATACAGTACCAGCGCTCCAACAGAGCACTGGTACTGTATAACACATAGAGACAGACAGCCACACACACACACACACACAACGTTCACTCCTACGGGCAATTTAAAAGTTGCCAATCAACCTAAGTGGCATGTGTTTGGAATGAAAAGGATGCTTGGTGCAAGAACATCGACAGCTTTGATGTTATTTCAAAGAGGGGCCAGCATATGTTCACATGGCCAGAGTGTGGTTGGACATTTGAGGTGTGGATACCGCGGGGCTTGTCAGCAGAACCAACACAGCTGTGAGATTACAGCACTGAAAAACACAGAGCTTTGCTTCAAGAAGAAAATGAAAGAACAGAAACTGTTGTGGGAGAACACAAGAAGCAGTGACTAGTAGTTTCTCAGTGTTTCCTCTCTTCTAATGGTATAGTTATCTGATAGAATAAATGAAGTACAAGTAAAGTAATTCTTTTTATGTGTAAAAATTAAGGCTGTACCTAACCAAGGATTTTACCAGTCAACTGGAGTCGGCTCTTGAGTGTGACTATTTGATTGTTCTTTTAATTTCTTTAAAAAGAAAAACAGATGACAAAAAAAATAAAATAAAATATAAACAAAGGCTCAACCAGAAGAGCCACAGTTGACTGACAGGTCTCGCGACTAATGATTCGACTAGTTGACTATCAGGGTCAGCCCTAGTAAGAATAATATAAAACACCTCATGTGTCCATTTGCATCAATTTTAAGAAAATCTAAATTCAATTTGACAACCAACTTCTTTTCTTTCATCTTGTTCCCTCACAGTCCATGCTGAACATAGACAGTTTGACCAAGCCAGAGTTGCTGATGCTCTTCAGCATCCTGGAGGGAGAGCTGGAGGCCCGGGACCTGGTCATTGATGCTCTAAAGGTACCCATCAATGGAGCTGTTAACATAATGTTTGAGTGATTCTTTGCTTGTTAATATCAAACCCTCACCCTCTCTAGGCTTGTCAACTTACTTCAGTAACACTGCACCTCCCATGATGCTCTTAATAAACCACAACCTCAAGATAAACAGTGAATAAACAACCTAATGATGCAGCATTTACCTTACTGAGACATTTATACAACACTGCAGAACTTATTCTCACTATTAATATTTACAGCTGTTGCACTCTTGGAATGCTGTTCCCTTTACTCATGTAATTTGCACCAGTGAAAGAACAAACCAGAGCGCAGCCATGTAAGAGAGCCTACTTCATGTGTTGTGTCTAGGCCACATTCCTTCATCTCTCCTGAGATGTGGCCATCTAAGGCAATACAGCACACAGGGTGCCTGCTGACTCAGTGAGAGAGAGAGAGAGAGGAGTGAACAAATAAACGCTGGCCTTAACTTGAGCTCGAGGGGAATATGGCTGTGCTTCTTTCATGGCTCCACCAGCACAGATTGTTAACCCATGCAGGCCTGGGACTGTATCAGTGCTGCAGTGTTAACAGTGCTTTCATTAAGGGTATAATCACTAACCTGTAAGAAATAAATTGCAGGGAGGGAAAGAAAATGGATCCTTTCTGTGTGGGAGTGTTTTTGCAGTGGGTTGAACAACTTCACACTCCCCTGCTGTTCAGTTAAGGTTTTGGTGATGCGGAAACTTGAGTCTCACCCTCATATGAAAGCAGTAAACAAAGAGTAACTAGACAGCACTTAGAAAGTGCAAACCTCTCCCCATAATGCCATTACACCTAAAAGCAAAACTGCCATTGTAGTTTGACCGTGATAATGAGTGTCTGTCTGTTTGACTGAGTACGAGGCTTAGCTACACACACAAAGTGCAGGGCAGAAAAGAGGATGAAGCCTGAGCTTTGGCTGCATTCATATAAAATCCTTCCTGCAGCATTGTGCTGAGATGTGGCTGTGTTTATTTGTGCTTTAGAATGTAACCGGTATGAAGGAACTTGAAAATAAGGTTTTATTTCTATGATTCAGTACTTTGTTTTGTTAGCGCCACTCACCTTCTTGATTCACATGCTAGCTCACACGACCACCACCGTGGTGATTAGATTTAAACCACAGGCAGTGAAATTTGGGCACAAATTAAAAAGAATGGCTGTTAGGTATGACAGTTCCCCTACCGTAACTAGCAAGTTAACAGGCCCATGCTGAAGTTCGATCGAGTGTCCAGTGTTAGCTGCCATGTTGGAATGATTTTACTACCCTTCAGGACTCAGTGCCAGTCACACGACTCAAAACTATGAATTGGCCCTATGCCAAACTCGTGGATCCACATCACCGCCAACCCAATGGATTGTTCCATGGATCATACCCTACTTCCCCCCAAAATTAGATCAAAATCTATTAATACTTTCTGAGTTATGTTGTGAACAAACAAACAAACAAACAAACACTGGACTTTGTGGTTGGCAATGATATCTGGATGGCAAAGAGAATGACCACTGTAAATGTCATACTGTGCCTTCTAAACATTAGCATGCTAGATTTGTCTTTGTATGCCAGTATGTCGAGTGCTGACATTAGCATTTTGCTAAAAGTACAGAGTACAGCCTAACATAGCTGCTAGCGTGCTGCAGAATCTTAGTCTTGTTCCAATAATAAAACTGCAATTGGACCTACAGTATTTAGAGAAGTATGTCCAGAAATATTACTCATGTTGTCTTAACCGACGTGTCACTGCTGAGTGTCATGCAAGAAATGTTTAGTTTAACCACAAATTACCATGGTGATAACACCAATGTGTTCTTTAATAATCTGTCCATCACATGGTAAACTGTTCACTTCTCTGCTTTGCATACCATTGCTCATTTGGTTAAAAGTAGCCTATAAAAACTGGAGAGTTTGCATGTGTCTGAGTGTTTTTAAAACTTTACAAACATCCTTATCAGTGCTTTATGACAGGACTAGTCTAAGTACAGGATGCAAGGTTAGTTATGTGGTTTTTCTATGGTCTTTTATAATTAATTATGCAGAACTATTAATGGCATTTTAACTATCCGCTGCATTTTTCCCCCTGTGACTCACTTCTGCAGCTGCTCATGCTGTGGTTTTCAAAAGGAAGTTAGTCTCTGGCAACACTTGTATTTGGCACACAAAGACCTGCTGAGATCCAGTAGTGTCATTGCTTTGGTAAAAAAATATGAGTCTTTTAAGCTCAAAGAGAATTCAGATATGGAAATGGGCCTTTAACTGTTGAGTTCACATAGCATTGTTGACTAGAACGTCCAAAGGGACATACGTCAAACAGGTTAGCTACCTTATGTGTAGGGCAGCTCTGAAATGGGGAAACTTGATTTTATAGTATTTTTCAGTTATCCATGTTCATTGCAGATCATTTTAATTACATGCACAAGCCTTTAAGACTATTTATGATTTTGCCTAAGCAGCTCTGAAATAAATAGCACTCTAGGGTAAGAAGTTCATATATCACCTTCCCACAGTATTATACAGATCTCGTCGCCAACATTGCACGACTGAAAGAGTCCAGGCATGTGTCAGCAAAAGATTAGCTTGATTGAAACCAGTGTAGCCATGGCACAAAGACGGCTTCCAAAGCAAAAGCACACAGTTTGCCAAGAACTGTAGCCAACAGACAAAGACATGAATAATAGACGTAGACAATGATGCAGAACAGCCATGCATTGAATGTTTATGGGTATTGTACTTGTACAGTTTGATGCAGTGAATAAACTGCGGTAGATTTGGGTGTTAGGTGTTCAGTAATGTTCATCCCCCCGCCTCCTAATATTTGTGTTGTAGATGTCTGTCTGTGCATTGATGGACTTGGGAGGGAACTGAGAAAGAGATTGAACCTATGCTTACGTGTGAAACTTTGTGCCACAAGGGTCCTGTGGAGCAGAAAGAACCCTGAGAATTTAAAGACCAATTTTCCACCTATGACAATGGGTAAAAAGTGGATAAATACAAAAAACAACCACATTATGTTTTCTTTGTATGTTTGCATGTTTCAAACTACTATCCCAATTAATAGCTTAGTCAGTGAGAGTCATAATGAGTAGAGTCACTTAAGAAGGTGCACTTTATTGTGCAAATTGTGTTGTTGATTTACTTTTAAATGGATAAAAATCCCCCCCCAATCTTCACATCTATACTCAATAACCCATAGTGACAAAGTGAAAACTAATCTAAGCTTATTTAATCTCCAACGATAAGATGACATATCAGACAGTCACCGACAGAAACGGGTTGTAGGCCAAGTCTGTAGATGGAGTTCTCTTTGAAGAAGTAGTTTCAAAATTAGATATCTACCTTTTAGAAAAACAAAAAGGCAACTCATCCTAACAAAGATGGGTAGTACAAAATCTTGCTCAAAGTATTATATTTTCAGCTTCAATATTTCTAAATCACATTCATGCAAGTATGCATTCCAAAAAGATTTTTTTGCAAACAGATGTCATGATTTTCTAAGCTGATCAGATGTGAGAGCTGTAGCCTTATATCCACAGAGTGAGAACAAGGACTACATTCCAGATTTACAGGATGTATGAATTGCACACAGACCTGTTGTTGAGTTGCTAAGTGGGCTGTAGATAGTGCATACATTTGAGAGGCATTTTTTAATTCTCCTGGGCACCCTGTGTTTTCCTGTTTCACCCCTCTACGCTGTTTGATCTGCCTTCACACTGTTGTCAGCAGACTGGATCAAGTAACAGCAGCAAAGCCCCACAGCCCTGCCCACCTCTTTTTGTGCCAGATGTGCTACAACTGCAGATGTAGAAAAATCACATGAAGCCTGTGACATCTCATGGAAGATAGTTTGAACTGATTTGTTATTAGTATAATGATAGATTTCAGTAAGTTAGGCAGATGGTAAATTTTGGAAAAGTGGAGTATTAAGAAAAGGTATAGGATCAGTACTTGCATATGTTAATACTTGGCATTAGAGGAGAAAATGGATCAGTGCAGCACCTTGGGTAAAATAGTCATAGTTATATTTCATGTTTGTGAAGGTCATGGCATACCTATGTGTTCAGCACCAAGCCACAGAAGGGTTTAAAAGTGTAAGAACAGTGAAATGGCAGGCCTATCCACAATCTTGACTGTGCGTTAAACAATTAACGTAATCTTGGTATCAGTCATCAGGAGGTGTGTCATCACCCTCCAAGAAAGGATACTGTTCTCTCTAATCTCTTGTTGAGACCTCACTAAGGACACATTGCCAGCTCTGCTTTAGCCCTCCTCTCTCTCACTTCAGCCCCTTTTCCTGTCAGCCCCATAGACATCTGCTGACTCTGAACTGTCTTGCTGCTATTATCCCTCCTTTGTCATGAGTTAAACAGAACAGGTCTGCCTTGTCCAAGGCTCAGTCCAGAGCAGCTGTCCTGCTAAAGATAGACAGACGCACACCATCTGTTGCTCCTTCCTCCTGCTAGCACACTCTCTTGTATTAGGTCTTTTATGCATATCCTCTCTCTCTTCCCCTTCCTTTATCTATTTCTTATATATCACCGGTAGTAAAATGAGAGAGAAATAACAGCATGTGTCAACAAAATCATAACTGCCAGGGAATAACATCATATCATAACTTCAAAGTTCAGTAATTGATCTGATGATCATGCTGGCTCAAATTAATCGCAACCATTAAATATATATAAATATGGGCAATAGGTCACTACTTCCCTCCACTATGCATAGGGAAGCCAAAATAACATGAATAAGGCAGCGTCCATCTTGCCATTTTGCAACCAGATTCAGCACAGTAGCAATGGAGAAGCTGAGTGACGTATTAGGTTGCCAGTCAAAGGTGTCAAATCATCCAAAATGCATCCCCTTTTATATCATCAAATAACATATTAAAAACAAACTAACCAGAAAGGTGACCACTTCAAATCAGCATGATGATATCTAGCAAATACAAAAGAAATCACTGCTGGGGAAAATTTTTTTGATTTGTACTTTGAGTTTTTAATTTGCCTTACGTCCCATCCTCTAAGACACTGCAGGTCTTAATGCTCAGATCGGATCTTTTGCCGAAATCCGATTTTTTTGCGCTGTTGTTCACACTGTCATTTAAATGCGACTGCCATCTGTCTCATGTGTGAACGGTATATGGCCCTGAGGTGACCCGCATGCGCAGAAGAGGACGTCAGACGCAGCATACTGTGTTTGCGAAAATAAAAATGGATGCGGCTTGTGATAGTATGTGCGTAGCGATGTACCAGTTAATGTGCAATCGAAATAAAGAAATAATGATAAGAATATCAAGAAGAAGGAGAGCACAAATATTGCTTATGGCCTCGCCTCCTCCAGCGCAGAATTGTGACGTCTGTCGCATTTCAATGACATAAATATCGCATGAAATGCGACCTGGTCGTTCAGACTGAAGTCGCATTGCAAAACATCGGATATGTATCCAATTTAGGACCACGTATGAAAGTGGCCTGGGCCGGATTTGAAAAAATCGGATTTGTGCTGTTCACACTGTCATAAGGAAATCGGATATGGATCACATTTGGGCAAAAAGATCGGAATTGAGCCACTTCAGCCTGCAGTGTGAACGTGGCCTAACGTGGAGGGGGCAGGCTTTATGATCTGTACTGCAACCAGCCACCAGGGGGCGATTGACTTCACTTCTGGGAGCCATCAGACTGTTCATCTTTTATACAATCAGTGATCACAACTAGGTTAGAGTTCACCAATCCATTGTATAGAAACTGCAGATCATTGTGTATCATACACTGGTTCTACTCCTAGTTTGCAATGTGAGGCAGAAGGTAGACCAAGACTAAAAGGTTAAGGCCATGTTAACATCTCTGAGACTGTACTTAGCCACAGAGGTGCTTGGAGCTAATTTCTAGCATGACCCTGTTAACATGCTTAATTTCATGGCAGCCCATCCAATGATGATCATAGCCATAAATGTGAACACCAAGATGGTGGCCAGAGGAGAAGTCATGGGATAATCCAGATGACCAACTCACTATAATTCATCCATTTAAGCACTTTCTGGAAAAGGCACTTCATGCAAAAGCATAAATAGCTGAGGTAGTCTGCTCAACATTTCCTACTATACACCCCTGTTCAGTGCACCATGTTGTCATCTGTTTAGGCCCAACGTAAAGAGCTGTTTATCCAGGAGCGCTATGGCAGGTACAACCTCAGCGACCCCTTCCTGGCCTTGCAGAGAGACAGCGAGGCTGTGGGGGGCCAGAACAAGGATATGGGCTGTTCTTCCTCAACCTCCAACCCTCTGGTGGTTCTCAAACTAGTGGTGAGCCACTGTAGGAGGATGCAAGAGAAGATGCTGGCCCAGCTGGCTGCAGCAGAGAACAGGCACAGAAGGGTGAGTATGGATGTGTGGTTCTTAATTGGGAGCAGGAAAATGAGCTGGTTGTTCATGGACAGTTTAAAAAAATGGTTGGATACATAAAAAGTAAAGATTGGCCTTAGGGGTAGAGACTATACTAAAACTCTAAAAGGCAGCCAGTAAAGCGCAATGCTAATAATGCTTTTTGTTTTGTTTTTTTTCAAAAAAAATATACAATACAAAAATTAGAAATCCAGTGCTCAGAGCAACAATCTTGGAGCACAGAATTTAATTAGATTAACTTGACCCATATTTTGGAAATGTTTTGTTTGCAGAATGATTTTCAGGAATGATGGAAAGACCATTTTTTCTCAGTATGAACTTTCCTATATATACACACACCCAAAAAGCAGATTAAAATGTAAGTGAACAGTCTCATATCATATTTATCCTTTTATGGTTTTGCTATTGAACATAATGATTCCATTATTGACTTTGTGAAAACACCCAAAGAAGAGCTATGGTATGTAATTGTTTAGCTGAGTCGCCAGCAGCATCTTTGCTTATAATGTAGTCACTGCATTACTGACCTCAGTATCAAACAGATCAGACATTTCATTTCATTTCCAACTCTCTGTCTCCCTGCTGTGTTTGGTTCAGGTCATTGCAGATCTGGAGGAGGAGAAGAGGCGGCATGCTGAGGACACAGCAGAGGGAGATGATGTCACTTACATCCTTGAGAAGGAGAGGGAACGCTTACAGCAGCAGGTGTCCTTTAGTTAATAGTGATGTAGACTGCTCTGCTAGCATTTGCCTAAAGTGTGCTGTATACATCTAACTGGAGTCTTTAATTGTAACTTAGCCTCTGCCAGGTTTGTAACAGTGAATGTTCCAGAAAATGGGTGAGCATTCCTATGGAAACATGGTATTCAAGTTAAGTGAAGTTTATCCATTATTTAGCCCCAAAGAGGGCGGGGTGTCAGACCATGCTGTCATAAATCTTTAATACAAAGCATCCCTGAATCCTGTCCTTACCCAATTAAAGAGCAGATATTTAGTGACTTGACCCATATAATCTGCATAGCATTTGCTGAGGTTGTACTGTATTTTGTGTTTCCTGCCTCTGTCTCTTTAGCTGGAATTTGAGCGTAGCCAGGTGCGGCGGCTGGAAAAAGAACAGCGGCGGATTACAGACCAGCTAGAAGAAGAACGAGCCCAGCACAAACAACTCTCCTGTGCTTTGGCCAAAGAGTGTAAGTGGGCAAGTACCAGGGCGCTGGAGGAAGGTCACCGGCTGTCTGAGCTGAGCCGTAAACTTGACAAGGTATTAACATTCTAAATCCAAGTTAGGCCATTTATTTTATTTCCCCTCAGTATGTTACAAATTTTAAGCTTCGTCAGATTTTGCATTTGCATAAAAAACAACTTTCTCATTTAGGAAAAGGAGGCTTGTCAAGCCCTGAGGAAGGAGCTGGAGGAGGAGAAGCGTAGAGCCCTAAGAATGGAGGCAAGGGTGGAGGAGCAGCTGGCTGAGTTTGACACAGAGCGAGAACAGCTCCGCTCACGTTTAAAGAAGGAAGAAGTTCACTGTTGTCAGCTACAACAACAGGTGTGGACACTGTGATATGGTCATTGCTAGTTTGTACATTTTGCATACTCTAACTCACTCAAGTGATTTTATCCCATTTTATTTCAAGAGAAGACTTGACATTTCGGCTTTATGAAAACATTTTCCCTCTGTTTTATGATCAGGTAGAAGAGCTGAAGAGGAAGCTGGAAGAGGCAAATATGACAAGAAATATGAGAGGGGTAGTTACAGCTCCTGCTGAGGCAGGGGGAAATGAGTGGGCTACAAAAGTTCCTCCAGGAAACAAAACATTAGACACTATTAAGGTCGAGGACACTGAAGAAGAGAGAAACCAGCCACATGTGCAGCCAAAAGTCAGTGGTCACCATTGTCCATTGGAGACTAACGGGTGGTCAAACAGCAGCCTCTCAGAAATGGCTTGCCTACAGAATGGGAATGAAAAACCTCCAAGTCAGACCCACATGTCTTTCTCCTCCTGCAATGACACCCCTCCTGCTCTTCTTCCTTCTTCCCCCTGCGCCTCACCTGTCCTTGCCAAACGCCAACCAGGCAGCCCAAATCCTGGTAGCTACCAGTCCCCCTACCAGGCTGGGATCAACCAGCGCTTCCACGCTGCTCGTTATAGATTCCAGGGTCCAACTGACCCAGAGCCTCAGTCCCAGGCCACACAACCCGCTCCTCCCCTCTCACCAAAGGACCTCTCTCCTGTGACCAGCAGCTCCTCCCCAGATGCCAACCCAGTCAAACAATTGGCCAGGAGCACAGTCACTCAGGTCCTGTCTCGCTTCACCACCATTCAGCAGAGTGCCACACCGAAGCTTGCAGCACCAAACAATTCACCCTTTGGTACAGACTACCGTAGCATGACGGCACCTTTATCACCAGTCATCGGAAGGGCTGCAGGAGCACCTCCACTGGGGATCAGATCGCCCACCATCCCCAGGGCAGACAGGGGCAATCCTCCACCCATCCCCCCTAAGAAGCCTAGTCTGGCCCAGGCACCTCCATCTCCAGCAGCAGTACCCAGGTCTTCAAGCCATTTCACTGAGAGCCCCCTCTCAGGCAGCTGTGGCCTCACCTCAAGCCAGGATGGAGTCAAAGAGCTGGACATGGTAGTTTCATCTAATTAACAGATCATTTGATTAGTCAGTAAATTATTCAGCTGCTGCTCTGCTTGTGACATCATGCTTTATCACCATCATCATGGCTCATAATTAAGATTGTCTTGTACAGTATATGACAGGATTTATATTCTTTGCTTATTTGAATAGAGGTCCCTTCAGACACCGTTATGCTATTTGTATACATTAGATAGAAACTGTATGTGCTGAGCACAATTTTAGATATTGGTTAAGGGGATGGTACTAATGAGTAGTTACAGTTTTAATTTCAAAATGTGCCAATATGAACTGTATGTATGCATGTACTGTATATAGGGCACAATGTACTATTACACTAAGTGTTTTTTCTGGTGTCATATCTCCAAAGAATATAACACAACTACCTCCGCCACGGCACGTTTTACCAGCGTTTGTTTGTTGGTCTGTTCACAACATAACTCAAAAAGTAATAAATGGATCTGGATGAATTTTTTTTTTTTTTTTTTTTTTTTTTTTTAGTTATTTTCATCTCTTTTTAGTCTCAACATTCTTTTTTTGGGTCTATATTTGACTTGTTTTTGACTATTAGGTTGTTTTGCATGCCCTCATCAGATTTGACACATCTTCAAAAGTTACTGAGCTACATCCTGAGGAAAACAGCCATTATGAAATATCATTATACTTGAATAACTTTCAAACTAACAATGATATCAGTGTGATTCCAAATGCTAGGGGTAGGTTTTCACTGTCAAGGAATCATTGAGGGTCCAACTATCATGGGAATATTGCTTTTATGGTGGAGGTTTGCGCTCTCCCTCACCAGTACTTTGTCTCAAGTAATCTTCAGACCAAATGTAATAAGTCATCCTTGGACCAATGTATGTTACATTCTTATTGTACAGTTTATACATAACTGTATTTTTTTAAATAAAAATGTATAGTTAACTTTATCAATGTTCCTTAGTTATTAATGTATGATAGTCTTATACAACAGCTAATCACATAAGTGTTGTACTGCGCATTGTTCACATATTACATTAATGTTGCGTAATTATGATAAAGTTCATAAAGGCTCAGATGTGGTCACAGTTGCTCAGATGCAGACGCGCTCACATTTGTACAGTTTACAATCGGAGTCAGATTCTGTTTTGCCTTTTCATTTGTAAGAAAACATTAGAAAACAAGTATTCTACAGTGAACCAAGGCTTTGATTAATGTTATATAACAACTGCCATGTTTGGTATCTTTTCTTTTATCAGATCCTACACAGTATTGTATATGCTGGAACGTGACAGATTTAATAAATTAATCCCAAAGAATGTCATGTATTCATCATTCATGTGTTTATACACTTGAAGCAATTATATGTGACCATTAGATAGTGATGGATTTATTAGTCCCTAATAATATGAATAATCAAATAAGAAAATGATTTAAAAACATTTTTTAAAATGTTACTTAATGAATTTGAAAGTTTTTGGTTGAAAAAGGACTATTGAACGAATTTCTTAAATAAATATAAATGAATTTGGATCAAAGCATGATGATATCATGAGGTTTTAAATTATTATGAAGTATTTTTAGTACTGTACAGCCACAGGCTGTCCTCTAGAGGGCAGTATTGAATAGCCATCTATGAATTGTAACTCTAGATATTTGTTACTCTGTCTCTCCTGGTGATAATAAACTTGATCTTTTCAATTGTATTAATATGAACTAGCACCATAATAGATATTAGAAGGAAAAGATAGTAAGCAAAAGCCCATGTTAATAGTGAACTACATCATTTATACTAAGGATATATTTGTAAATACAAGTAAAGCACCTGATTAAAAAACAAAAAAAATCTCATGTATGTTAGTTTCATGCTGCTTTTCCATACAATCTTTAAAATAATGACAGTTTTTGGAATTTATCAAATAAACAGCACTAAAGATAATAAAACAATTTACTGCACATACAGTATAACCATAAGAGATTGGGTTAATATTTTGGGTTTTATGTTATTACTTTGTAAAAACAAATATTCAGTGGCACTGTGCATTTTATGAATGTAAGTTTACCAATTCTGTATTTGTGTTTAAAGTGTCTGCAGACTGATTATAGTGAGGTGCTGAAGCAAGACTCATCTCCTGCTCCTTAGTTGTGAAACATTTAAGTGGACTGCGCTGTAATTACATGCCCTGTATTGCTTCAACTATAAACAGTGTTCTTGTGGTAGCTTGTGATGCAATTTAATAGAAAACCTGGGTGGTGGTGGCTGCTTACAGATGCAAATGCAAATGTGAACAAAAGGTACAAAGAGAAGCAATTATTTGATAGATATATTTTGTGTTCTATCATGCCACAGTATATATAGTGTCTCTCATTGACCAGCAGACAAATGCACAGCATATGCTGACGGGGCTTTCCATCAAATTAAATCCCCCTCCTGGTCGTCAGGGAAGGGTTGGCTGGATAACAGGATGGGTCACCTCTCCTCTGCTCACCTAATTAACATTCCAGTGTAGGAAAGCACGGCCGCATCCCAAATCCAGCACAGGCACGCCTGGATCTCCAGCACAGCCCCTTTTTTCTCAACCTCCATAAACACAGGATCAGGTTGATGAGCTGTGAGGGGCCACATCCTGGTTGCTGTCACTACCAGCATGTCTGCTCACTCTCCACTAGCGAAATGTCATCCTTTGTGGGGAGACAACATTCAGCAGAAGACATAAAAATCTGGGTTTTGAGATCTTATAATTTGTTGGGAAAAATCCCAAAACCACTGGCAGTTAGTAAGATAAATGCCAATGATAGCTTGTACAATATGTTCTTTTTTGGTTTTGGCTTTTAGTACTACTAATGCCTCACTTTTCAAACTTGTCCTACATACATATCTGTGTTGACCTGAAATGTCTTCGTATGAATTAATACACCAACACTGACTTTATACAGGTCACCTGTCCCTCCTGGGTGAACTTGGTAAGTGCTGTACTTTATGACTGTGGTGCACAATAGTAGACATACAACAAGACCCATGGTCTAGAGGCTGCAGTGTCATGTTTTATGAATGAAATGACAACACTAAAGTCAAGGGGAGAGCAGGTAACCTGTCATGAATTAAAACGTTAATTTACAGCCTACTCATTGTAGACCTGTTCTGAGAAAACAAAACATTTGTTGAGTCTTCCGTTTTCTTGTCTGTCAGTGATAACTGTCACTGCACAGGCCCCAGAACAAGATCAATATCACTGTAACGCGAGCAGTCATCTGTGCTGTGGCCAAATCTCTTTTTTGTTTTCTTTTTCTTTTCTCCCTCACTGTCTAATTTTAGCCCAGACCACGAGATGGGCCTAGAGATGACTCAGGTCCCCACAATAAGCTTCTAAAACTCCACAGATGGAGCTGGCATAAAGTGAGAAAGAACGAGAGGTATGGTTGGATGGCGAGCGTTATCGCCACCATCACCTGCTCTCTGTAAAGCAATTTGTTATATGGTTGTCACTATAGAATCCATAGCTTCTTCTAGGAAAACAGTGCCACGTGTAATGTGGATCTGAGGGTTGCTCCAAATCCAGAAATGACATAACTGAAGGACAAACAACTGGGCTGTGTTTGTGTGTGTGTGTGTAATATAGAATAAAGTCAAAATGTCCAGCAACACAACCTGGAAAATTTTACTGAACAATTTGTATTCTTTCTCTCTTTCTCTCACACACACATGCAGTGTGTTTTTATCATTTCATGGGACATTACATCGACTTGTATTCAATTCCTGAAGCCCCAACCTCAACCATAACCGCTACATGCCTAACCCTAAACCAAGTCATCAATCTAAAATGTAATGCTTGGTGTTTGGGGGACTTGCTTTTTATCCTCATAAGGATGTCAAGTCCCCACAGTGTGACTGTGTCAAAAGATTTATGTCCCCACAGCATCAGTATTACCAGGCCACACACATATTTTCCCCTGTGCTGTGGTATTTTTAGGAAGCTGTATTGTTTTTGACCTTTACGTAGGCTTCTAACCAACACGCCTGGATTTGAACTAATTAAAATGACCTCACACTCTTATATACTCATACAGTATACAATTGACAGTGTCCCTCTCTTCCTGCTAGACATACCAAGCACCAAATAGCAGAGATACTAGCCAGAAATGTCCTTGAGTTAGGAGTTAGTGTGGAGTTAGTGGCATAAGAAGAGCAGTTCAGGTGCTTGGAGCCAGGAGGAAGATGTTTACTCTCTTACCTTGAGTCATATGGTATAAAGGCAGCATGTGCATTTGACATCTGTTGTATATCTGTCACTCCAAATGATCCCCCCCCCCCTTCCATCTCCCTTTGCCCTTTGTTTCTTTTTGTGAGGTTTCTTCCTCCTTACCCTGTTAATGTTTTTGGACAGTTTTTGACCTATGAACCAAGACTCTAAGAACAGGGGGTGCCATGTCCTGTGCACATTATAAAGCCTTTATTGAATCTTCATATCTGTGAAACTTGTTCTGAATGAGTTTCTTGAGCCTCTTGGGCTCACACAAGCTAAAAACCATAGGAATCAATTTTTAGGAGTTACAAGCAACAAAGACATTTTACGTTGTTAATTCTGTAAGGGCACTGAACTGAGACCAAACTTGAGCAGCAAGCCTATGAAACAATGTGTAAAATGCCCCCGCATGAGAAGGATTACCCATCTCTATGGAGACACCAAGTTCCTGTTTAATGATGTGTCAAAGCATGAAGGCCTGACCCCTTGGTTCCCAAATAAAACTTTTTCCAGTTGTCTACAGTTGTGACACAAATGCCTACTTTTCATCCACTGGAAACACCAATGTTCGGTCTAAGCGTTGATAAATGAACAACTACATCCTCATAAAACTAAAGTCTACAAAATGCCAAGGTACAATACAGGCAGCAAGACCCAAGGGAAACTGGTCAATGCTATTACTGTAGGCCAATATAAAAGCCTTTGACATTTTATTAGGTACACATAGCTCAAACTAATGGTCTAATAGGATAACACTGCAATAAATCCTCATTCACGAGGTGATTGTGTTCGGTTTTGGTCGTTTTACTGAGGTGATGATTGTTTCAAAGATCCTGCTGTTCAATTGTATTGCGTTCTAGCCTACTGACAGGTGTTTGTATGATTTTGTGCACCCCACTGATATCAGTGAAGCTAGGCCACATAATAGAAACACCTCTCTGATGTCATTAAATCTCCTCCCTATGAAAACATTACAGTACATGATTTGAAACTGGCAGACACCAGAGATTATGATTACTTTCCATCAGACTATACCGCCCCTGTCCTGTAGGTCTACATAGCGTTATTTGTAATTTTCTGACACGGGGGTGGGGGTGGGATACAGAACGAGGTCACACACACACAGCTGACGCACCGGAGCGGAGCGGACCGCAGTCTGTTCCGTGCCGCATCTTTCATTCCGGCTACTGGAGGAAAAGGTGCGCACAGCGTCCGTCTCACCTTCGGAAACCCTACTTCCACTCGATCCATCTGACTTAATCAACATTTATCACTTTTACTGCTGCCTGACAGGATCTAACAACTTTCTATTGAGCGAGCGTAAATTCTGTGCGCAACAGCTGAAGAGAAAATGGGATTTTATTGCTTATAAAACATCTGTGACGGACTTATTCACCTCATTAAATACAATCTCCGACGCCAGCGAATATTATGGATGTATTTATAAAAAATCTACATGGCATCACTAAACTAACTGCAGTTAACTGATGGAGTTTAAGACCAATTTTCCTCTTTGGAAAATTCTTTTTGTTCCCCAATGATGGGCGGCAGACAATTGTCAAGGACTTTCATTTCTGATTGTGCAGCCTTTGCCAATACATGAAAGAAAGAAACCCGTTTTGTCTGATGAAATTTCGAGGCTTGTCAGACAGCAGCAGGGCTATGGGGATCAGAAATGGGACAAAAATCCAACATCCCTCTAAACCCATCTCTAAAATATATTTCAGTTTTACTTTGCTCCTGCTTATTTTCACACCGAGAGTGGATTCATCGTGGTGGTGAGTGAGATCTCTGAAGAGCGTTCGCTAATGTTTAGAACACTTTAGATAAATTAACAAATTAATAAAAAAAACAATCTGTAAAATAATGTCAAGATGCAAGTGCTGCAAAAGTTATGCTGCACACAGAACCTAAATGTTGCTAAGAGAATTTAACAGTTCTCTTCTATTTACTTAAATATATTTACATTTTGTAACAGCCAACATTCTATTGTCCATCTCCATCTTAAATTTTTGTGTTAACCCTTGGCACTAACTGGAACAGTTTTTCAGCATATGGCAATTTATTTTGTGAAAGGGGCTAAAATGAGCCCCAGTCTCCTTATTTGACAACCATAACATGAAACTTTCATCTTAATTAAGCTGTTCTTTTGCACATTTTGCCAACACATCTAAAATATCCCTTTCCCCATTTTACTGTATGTTTGTGCACATACAGTAAAATATTAAAAAGGAAACCTTTCATCCTACTTTACCTGTGCATGGGAATTTTCAGACTGTGTGCTTGTGCAAAGTGAGATGTTCAGCACAGCAATGTGGGTCATGGGTTTATGAAGATTAATGGTGTTGAGGGGAATCTCCCCTATCCATCCATCTTGCCTAGGATAAGTGGCAGGTGCAGGCGCTGGTGCATGAATAAATGCCCCTTGATGATTTCTCTTGAGGTTTTAAACACCAAGAGGGGGAGAAACGTCCACCAGGTACAGTTATCTCACCCACCTGAAACAGTTCTTGCACGTCAGGTTACACTTAAACGTATCTGATGTGTACTTTATGTTTAACTAACCATTGTAAAGCAGTTCTAGTTCTGTAAATTTAATACTGAATGCTATTTGCCATTGTTTAATCTTTTTGCTGTCTTATGCCAATATATTATGAATAAACTATAAATAAATCACTAAGAAATTCCAGAGAAACATAGATCAGGAGAGGCTTGGAAGCTTTGTGTGCAGATGCTTATTTAATCCTGGTTTGTACTGTTAGGGGCCTATTTTTAACCATTGTGATCATTTAGAGTAGCACCATGTGTCTTGCTGCACTGGACCCTATTCCCTCTCTTGCTCTCTCTCTCTCTCTGTGTGTGTGTGTGTGTCCTCTTAGACAGGCCTTTTGGCATGGTTCTATGTACAACACACAATAAACACAAGCAGTGCTTCTGCTCTGCTTTACTGCTCAGACAGATAGTCACAGTTAGAACGGGACTGGGACAGCCATAACAGGAGTGGAAACTGCCTGCCATGTCTGTTTCTGTCTCGATGACCAGGCGACATAAACGCAGCTGTGATTAGGGACTATACTGATATCTGGATGGAGAGTGGAGCATGCAGGTTGGGGAGGGGCACTGAACTATCATATGGTTGATCTGTGATGCTGAGAAGGAAAGATCTGAAAACTGAGTGGTCACTTGTACTGTAGATGACTGACTGTCCTGTTGACAAAAATCCCCCCAGTGTCACATTACCACCAGCATGTGATCCGCCCTTTTAAGAGTTGCTATAAAGTGTGGGATTATGTCTGAATGCAACAGGAAGCAAAGGCCTGTCACAGAAAAAGTGGTGCTTTTCAATGAACATGAGGAATTTAATAATCTTCTCCACATCCTGAATAACAGAGCCTTGAGCAGAAGAAAGATATGGATGTGAAAAATGGCAACGGCAAATTTTATAGCCTTAAAGAAAGTTTGAGACTTTAGAAACATTTGTTTATCTAGAGATAAGTTTGATGGCATGCTCGTCTGTACACTAAATATAAAATAACCACTAGCAGCTGGTTAAAACAGTGTAGCACAAGGACTGAAAGCCTGACTCTGCCCAAACAAATTATATAAAAGGCCTTGTTTTTCATGAAGTTATGTACCAGACTACTTCTTGGTCAGAGCAGTAACTTCCTGGAGTTGCTGCTGGGAAAATGGACTTGACCAAGACATAATACCAGCACACGACCCCCGGTGCTTTGTCATTGTTACCAACAAACGAAATGCATTTTAGTCAGTGAGTTTTACAACAAGCACCTTTACCCATAGTTTCCTTCCAAAAGACGCTCCAGTGATTTAGTACTGCACTTCTATGCATTTGGGGGAGTTGATTGTGACAGTAAATAAATAAAAAAAAGGTAAAAATTGATGGAGCACCAGCTGTGATATCTATAGCTCCATAAATACTGATTCTTACATTATGCAACCTCAGTGTATTTTGTTAAACACTTCCTACCTGCTAAACACACGCCTTTCAAACGCCACGCCTCTGTTTTCATTATAAATTTGTAGCTTTTGCTGCATTCACCTCTTTAAATATAAAACTCAGCAAAATAAGGCAGTTTGGGTTGTTTATTGGTGTGATGACACAAGTAGCAGCGGGTGAAACCATTTTGGAATAATGCACTAATGCTCCCACATTGAAGCCCCTTTAACTTATTATCAATAGTGTGTTTGCTGACTCTGTATGTGCAGGTACATTGGAGCACTGGGTGCTCGGGTGATCTGCGACAACATTCCTGGCCTGGTGAACAAGCAGAGGCAGCTCTGCCAGAGGCACCCGGACCTGATGCAGTCCATTGGCGAGGGAGCCAAAGAGTGGATCAGAGAGTGCCAGCACCAGTTCAGACACCACCGTTGGAACTGCAGCACGCTGGACCGGGACCACACTGTGTTTGGCAGGGTGATGCTGCGAAGTGAGTCTGCGCATGTGCGAGTTAATCATCCTTGTAAATGTCTCTGCTGTTACCAGATAAGCACAGAATTAATAGGTGTTTTATTAAAAAAACTTTGCCCCATAATCCAAACTAAGAAAAAAAATGCTGTGGGTATTTTTTTTTACCTCCTCCAGAATAAGAGAAGATTGGGAAAGTGGATATTTTCTGAAAACAAGTAGCAGATCGAGAGATCCACACTGGCGATGTTTAAACAGTAATAGGAGATGTAAATATTTGGGTAGATGTTTCTGGCAGCCAGACAAAGCTTTACTCCCTGACATATCGCTTGTGTTCTGCTTCATTGCGTGAGCAAGAATGAGGACAGGAGGTGGGTGGGTAAGCCAGACCAAAGAACCCCCAAAATCTTCTCTTGTCTGAAATGAAAACAGAGCCCAGTGAGCGAGAAAGTTGCCATCTGTGCAAATTATAAAAGGTGAAAGGAGAGTCCACTGGACTGTGATGTTATAGCTGACATGCTCCTTACTTCTGTCTAGACCATCCACCATAAATGGACTGATTCCTCTGTTCGTGCTGTCAGAAATATACTAGAAAAAGGCTGCTTTACTGAGCAGTGACACAGTAAACTTGGGCACTAAAAAAACCAGCTTCAGTCTTACAAATAAAGTAACAAAAGCTGTTGCATTATGGCGTCAAACAACATTTACAACACTGTCATATCAAATAAAAGCAGTAGTAAAATTATTTTCCTTTTTCAACTAATATGCAATCTGATAATATTGCACCACTTCTCATCCCTGTGTACCCAGGCAGCCGAGAGGCAGCATTTGTGTACGCCATCTCCTCAGCAGGAGTGGTCTACGCCATTACAAGAGCCTGCAGTCAGGGGGAGCTTAAGATCTGTCACTGCGACAGCCACAAGCGTGGGCAAGCTAGCGACGACAGGGGCACTTTTGACTGGGGTGGATGCAGTGACAACATCAACTATGGCCTAAAGTTTGCCAAGGCCTTCGTAGACGCTCGAGAGAGGATGGTGAAAGACGCTCGTGCGCTAATGAACCTGCACAACAACCGCTGTGGTCGGATGGTGAGCAGGAGCTTTAATGTTAACATTTTAGCACCACTCTGTTGCACTTTAGAGACAATTTAGTTGTTGGAAACCTACATCTTTTCCCTGCATAGACCAGTAGTGATGCTGTGTTGTACAGGTGTGTTATGGTGTAAAAAAGGCACTGCTTATCAAAATGAAAACATCCTTACAGTGGTGAAGAATGTGGCAGCAGCATCATGATTTGGCACTGGTTTGCTGCACTGGGCCTGGACAGTTTGCCATCACAAACAGAAAATTAATTCCCAGGTTTATCAAGGTGTCTTATAGAATAATGTGAGGACAGCTGTTTGCCAGCTGAAGATCAGGAGAAGTCAGTGATGCAGCAGAACGGTGATACTAAATGTAGAAGTAAATCTTCTACAGAATGACATCAAACAAAGAAAAGCGGCCCAGTAAAAGTCCAGACTTTAACCCATTAGAGATGCTGTGGAATGAGCTCAAAGAGCCACCAACACCAGGCATCCTAAGAATATGGCTGAAGCAGTTCTGTTGAGAAGAATGGTCCAAAATTCCTCAGTGTTATGTTGATACTGTAAACACTTGTTAAAGCTTATTGCTTCAGTCAGTTACTAAATCCAAGGCTCCACACACTTTTTCCTACTATCACTGTGAATGATTAATGGACATGTTCAAAGAAAGACACCAAAGACTGTAATTGTTTGTGTTATTAATGTAAGCACACTGGGTTTGATCTGATCATATCACATCTTAATGCATTAATGTAGAAATCCATGCAACTCCAAATGGCTTATATACTTCTACTTGCCACTATATTGATATGAATGACACAATACATTGTAAATACCATGAGGCCAATAATCTCAAGAGCTGAACTGTTGAGGGTAGTCCTTTCTACAAATTTTAGTAAAATATCCTTCTGGGCTCTTGTAAAGGTGACAGACAACAAAATGAGATTAACTCTCATAACAGCATACCGTACTATATATATTCAAGACCTACAGGTTGGGCTGTTTCAAAAAGTCTTTGGTAAAACATAAAATGTAGTCGTAGTGAAAAATATTCAGCTAATAACTGTGCTAGCACAGCTGATAACGCCTATATCATGCCATCACAGACTTAATACCCTGTCACCTTTGACCTGTGCTCTAGGCAGTGAAGCGCTTTATGAAGCTGGAGTGCAAGTGTCACGGGGTCAGTGGCTCCTGCTCTCTGAGAACCTGTTGGCTGGCTATGTCCGACTTCAGGCGAACTGGAGACTACCTACGTAAGAAGTACAACACAGCCGTTGAAGTGACTATGAACCAGGATGGGACAGGCTTTATGGTGGCTGACAAAGACTTTAAGGGAACCACCAAGAATGAGTTGGTATATGTTGAGAACTCACCAGATTACTGTCTCATGGACCGCGCAGCAGGTGAGTTAATGAATGAAGAATTGTCAGGGAGAAGCATTATTATATCTTTAAAAACAGAGAAAAATTAGAAGCTACTTCCAAAGGCAAATGTTTACAGACACATGAAAACAAATGCACAGAGTGACATGACTTTATGATTTAAGAAAAGGGTGGGTGGCTGTAATTTTACATGGTTATGCAACACATTCTGATCTCGTTGTCCCTTTTGAATCCTGAATATTTTATTAGGGTTAATTCACCTAAATGACACATTCAAAACATTGTCATACAGCCTGTGTGCCCAACATACAGTATAGCAATCTGTGAAAAGCCACTAGACGGCAGAAGCACTCAAATGTCTGCTTCATCTAATGATAAGGGGGAAAACACCATACAAACTCAACTGCATCAGGCTTTGGTCAGGATCAGACACTATATATTGTAAGATCATCAGGTTCGGACACCACATTCTCGGGCACGGGCCATGTTTGGACAGAAATATGCAGCCCGATCTGTGCTCTATGAATCCACTCTTGTGCCACCACCTCCAAGTAATTCAAGCAAAGAACCAAAAAATTTCATCTGATAAACTCAACGACAATCCAACCACTGATTTCCTGGGTACAGACTTGGCGATGAACAGATTTTATAAAACCTACTGGTATTGCATGTAGAATATTTCATAATTAAGACTTTACATCAGCAAAACAGTCAGTTTACATTACGACTTTCAGTGACGTATGTCTGAACTTGTGTTAAATACATTTTTCCAGACATAAATTGCAACACCACATTTCAAATTGTCAATTTAAATTAAATTATAAGTATACTGTTCTGAGACAACACAAACAGTTGGCGATCCTGTCATTTTCACAAAATATGAGAATCAGAGACTTGTCCACTGAAGCCTTACATTCCTTCACAGCTTAAAAGTTCAAAGATTTGACCTTTCACATCTCCCTTAATTCCTAGTGTTTGCTTTGCCTTGTTAAGCTCCGTCTTTATCCTTCAATCCAGCTCCAGTTCACAAACTCGCTGTTAATAGGTTAGGGAAAGTGCACATGTGTGGGACATATGATGATACTAACCTAAGAGATTCTCCCACTTCTCCCTGTTGTTAGACTGATTGCGGGCTGACAACTGATGACTAATGTAGACATGCTCACTGAAAGGAATGGTCGTCTTTCCTTGTTAAAATGTGATCCTAAAACAAGCTTATGACCCTCTTCACCACTAATCTCCACTGTATTGGAATTCATAGCCTAAGGATACATGCAGACACCCAAATCCTTCCTTTGGTCAGTGTTAAGCTCCACTCTCTAGAGCCTGTGGGGAATATTTCCTCTTTACTTCATGGATGCTCTGTTATTATATGTGGCATCTGATCTTAGGCTTAGATTTTACACCTGAGCCCATGGACACCTTTGTGTTTGGGTCTCACACAGTTCTTTTAGCAGTTCTTGAAAGCCTAAACCGAATTGTAGAACATGGGAAACTGCTATTTTACTTGGGAAATACAGTTTCAGTATCAACATCTCCACTGGTGTTCATTGGTAGTCATCTGCCAGCATTAGCTGTTCAGGACAACTATGTCATCAAGGGATGTTTTCCAAAATGTAATTAAGTTGAGCTGATATGTGACTAAGACAACCAATAGATAAACCACCTATAAAGAGCAACTGTTTTTGCAATAGAAAACAGAAATGTCACGCCAACTTTAAAAATAGTAGCATGCTCTTATTCCTTAACAGCTGCACTAATAGATATTTAAAAATGATCAGATACCTGTGTGTAATGTGAAAGAGGTTAATGACAAAGCCACAAAAAATTATCACCCAACTCTACAATTCCTCTCAGCTCTGCAAAGAGATGTAGCACCTTTCAGCTCATTGTTTTGATTTTATGGTTGAGCAAACTCGGCTCTCATTCTTGTTTCCAGCAGCAGCAGACAATAGCTGTCACCAAAAAAAGCTTTAATAAACCTAGTGCACGCTTCCCGCTCAATAGCAGACAATGCTAACAACTAGCTATGGACAAAGTTATACTCTGGGCACCTGAATGCATGCAACAGTTAAGAGATCTCCTTTTGGACCAAAGTGATGGAGTGAAAAACAAGTGTCCAGGTATCCATATGCCAAAACCACAGTATTTTTACTCTTTTCCTCTCTTTACAGGCTCCTTGGGCACAGCAGGCAGAGTGTGCAACAAGTCATCAAGAGGCACAGACAGCTGTGAGGTCATGTGCTGTGGGCGGGGCTACGACACAATGCGCGTCAAACGTGTCACCAAATGCGAGTGCAAGTTCAAGTGGTGCTGCTCTGTGGAGTGCAAAGACTGTGAGGACATGGTGGATGTTCACACCTGCAAGCCCCACAAAAGACCTGACTGGCTGTACATGACCTAATGAAGACAGATGACCAATCACAGTCACTGCCTCATTAACCTTTGCTCTAATGACTGAGTTTTATTACATGATATATAATTGGGATCTTTTAACTGTAATACGTCTGGTTGTCAATCCTGTGACACTTTCAGGGGCTGCTGAGCTTTTATAAAAACTTTGATACAAAATAGCTGAATATTATATTATTCTGTTATAAATGCACCCATTGTTGACGCAGAGATATGAAGTATTGTCTGTTTGTTTTACTGTATGTAAAGAGCACAGCCCAGGACAAACTGAGGATTATAATAATGGTAATATTTAGCCTGACAAGAAAAATTAAAAACAAAGATTGAGCTACTGTAAAAACACTGACAATGTATCATTTACAGTAAAATGACATCAAGTAATTGTATGGTACTGCAACAGATATATATATATATATATGAAAATATAGTTGCTGATAATTAATGCGAATCAGATTTAATAAAAAGTCAGACGGAGTTTACAAAAAACTTCCTACTCGAATGATAAATCACACTGTGAACCCAATGGAACCACAAACACGAGAACAAGCAAGGACTTTTCAGCTCAAGTGGCAGCACACTGCACTTGCTGCAGAGTCGGATTTGGCAGGTGAGAAAAAGGACACACTAACAGGAAAACTTCAAGGACTTGTCTTGGAGAATCACAGTTTTCACACAGTGTCCTGCATATTTGAATGTCTGTAACTGGTCCAGCGTATTCTGGTCGGGCTGTCTTATGGAAAATTTTCTCATGTCTAATACTCTGGTTCTTTGTTTCCACACGGCGTTAGAGTAATTTTCCGCTGATAAGCCTTCAAACTCACAAATGAAGGTCTCAACCTGGCTTCGCTGTATAGTCTCACAGGTACCTTAAACTCCATCCCCAACCAGTGCATTTTCTTCATTTTTAACACCCTGTTAGGCATCACTAAACCAAGTTTCACAAAGCAAGTGTGTGCTACAACAATTTCATTCATCGTAACTAAACCAAAGAACCTAATTATATGGGAAGATAAACATGCTTCTGATTCCATGACAGTTCTGTAAAGTCTTGTCATTTTCAAATCTGTCTTACTCTAAACAATGTATGTTTCTCAGTCGTGGCTTGTATCCTAAGGTTGTAAGTGGAGGCTCTCTCATTACCTGGTTGTTACAAAAGTCAGCACAGCCTCTTTCTTCTTCTGGAACAGAGCACTTCTAAAATGCAATCTTATGAAACTGTGCTTTCAGTCCTTTGTGCACATATTCACAGGCTCCGACCATTTTGAAATCAAGTATTTCATGAAACCAGGCCAAGATATTGCAAAAATAGCAGTGAAGTAGCTCTGGACCCTGACTTTGACTTTTCAACATCTGTAATGTGGCCAGACATCATGTTAGGCCATTGGAGACACAACTCTCAGCGGTGGTTTATAGATATAAATGAATCTGACAACAAGCTGTGGACGCCGAGAGTCAACAAATTGTTTCAAGTCCACGTAATGAGGACGGGAGCCAAAGTAAAGTGCTTTGAACAAGGCCAAATGACACACCATATCAAATGTTCACGAGTCAAAAGTTAATTGCACACAAAAGAGCCTGTTCTGAATGTAAATCAAGAGTGTGATGGCTGTGTTTTTCTTAAAGATTAGAAAGGTGATAGCTGCTCACACACTTCGGGGGCCAACCTGGGCCTGTGCTGCTCCAACCTGCAAAACCTCAAAAACCATTTACACAGTTCTTCTGAGTGTAATAAAACACAACACTGACCATTAAGAAATTGAAGTTTTTATGCCTAAAATCACATCAGAGACCGCCGGGCCTGCACTGTTCTCTACTATGAATCTGGAGTGGTTGAGGGTGAACGTCATATTTACTCTTTATAAATTGGTTTTGGTCTATTCACAACTCAAACATAGCATTAAAAGGTATACTGTAAGCACATTTAAGCCAATGCACACAAATATTAAGCTGTTACTGATGCTGTAAATTTCTTTCATTGAAGACTGACGCCGCATTTTTTCACTGAGCACTGGCACAACTGTGTCCTGGTGTGTATAGGAAGGTAGTTTCACCTTGGAAATGCAGGTCCTTAAATACCTTGCTGGTTCTATATTAAACCTCATTGATGCACCCTCTGTCACTTCTATTAGTGCACCTCTGTTCTATTTCAGATGGTATGGCCTCCGAAGCTTCAGCCCTGATTCAGTTATAGCAAAGAGGGGCTAAAGATAGTGTGGCCTGCCAGGTTAGTGTTTTAAAGTTCAGTCATTTCAATGTCAGGTAATTCCTGGGTATTTTTTCCAGAAATATATCTGGACTGGTACAAGCTAAGCAAGCAGCAACAGAAAATGTGTCACAAAATATTTCTCAAGTTCAATTATTATAGTATTTTCAAAGGAGACTGAGGATAATGCCCATGCCTTCAATTAATAATACTGTTCTTTATTTCCCTCATCATGTCATACAATCTGTGTTGCTTTGTCCCCCACAGTGTATGATCCAGTTGAAGTCTGTAAAAATAACAGGACTGGCATCGCAGGCATTCTCTGCCATCAAAGTGATATCAAATAGGCATTGCGATTGAACACTTCAGAGCTAAAATTGGCCCAGGGGGAATGATTGAAATGATCCATATGCATGCTTCACATTCAGCAAAACCAGAAGAGAGAAACATTGTAATCCATGCTTACAAAATGTAATGAGTTAAAAACAATTTAGCTTTGCATTAATTTTACACTAAAACTTGTTGATTTTATTCCACGTTGAATTTCTCTGACTGGACCTTCAGTCCTGAACAGTGCATCCAATCATGTGACTAATGTCTATAATGTACAGTAATATGGGGATATACACACACACACACACACACACGAGGAACTCTGATGAAAATCTCTAGTGGTTTCACTGTTTTTCTTGGAATAGAAGAGTTTTAATTACGAGTTTTATGTGGACATGTAATTGGACTTCACAGCAACAGCTATTGTGTAGTGTATTTGTTGTCTTTGCCAAGTGACATCATACCCATTTGTTACTGGCAAAGAGTAAGATCCACATATAAATCTACAGTATGTGAGGATGTGTTTAGCACTGACAAAGTAAAGGACTCTCACACATTATAAATTATCTTTTTATGACATAACCCAAGTTCATTACATGGTAGGCATCCATCTGATGGTTATATCACCTGTGAGATACAGTAAAAAAAGAACAATGGGATTGTTTGTTTTTCTCAGGGATACTTCAGCAGCTATTGACGCACACTGGATGTTAAGTGATCGAATGCAGAAATCATTAAATTCATTCAGCCAACTCGCATGCAGTGGATTTAATATATGAAAACAGGATATGCACAGAACTGGCACCTATGCACTGTTTCACTCCCCACGTCAAGTTCAGCACAGCAGAGACTAGGGTGGGGTGATTAAAAGAAAAAAGAAAAACTTCCATAAAAGCCACATCAGTTTCAGAGCCTGGTGCCAGCCATTATGTAAAATCTACTTAAAACCCTGCCCAAGCACCAGCTACTGTGTGGTTACTTTACAACGAAGCACCACAGGTCATCTTGTGAACCGAGATGGGCAACACCACCACCAGCATGTCAGACACACTTTATTTTGTACCACCAATGTATGAATACAACTTTAAGGTTAGTAATGAGCACAGCAGAGTGTAGGAGCAGCAGATAAGCTCCTATAGCACCGCGGAAGAGGAGCTCAGCAGCAAGTAAACATGTGGCTTTGAGTAGAAATGTTTTGTTTTTGCTTAGCCAAGTCTGAAGCATGCAGAAAACATATAAAAATCTGTGCTCACCATAACGCCAATATTACATGAAAACAATTATGTAAATGTGTTTAACTCCATGAAGACAATTTACACAGTATATCTACTATAGATCTTGTTTACATTAAGACAACCACCCACAACAACAGTAGCCTGGGGGGGAAGTATGCCAGAAAAAACACCTCAGGCCATTTAACTCAAAATACTCAAGCATGAGTATTTATTTCCACCACTACCTAATGAAAAACATCAATAACTGTGCCAAACAACATCCAAAAGGCAATGTCAGAGGAAGACAAAAACGGTGTAAGAGCAGAAAGGAGCCAAAGGATCAACAGGACAGACAGCAGCAGGTAAATACTGCCAAGCACACGAACATTTGCCAAACAGAGCAGGGACATCATCATGGATAAACATGTCAGCAAAAACAGCACAGCTCTTAGCTTGGCAGGGCGAGGTAGTCTTAGAAGAGAATGAAGTCATCCCCTGGTCCCCACACAGCTAACAGAAAGACGGCCTGGCGTTTGAGGCCCGCAGCTGATGAATGACTGATAAATTGTGTAGTTGAATTCCAGCAGGAGCATGAGACGGAGGGAGATTATTAAGATAGCTACTCAGCAAAACTCTCATGTCAACAAGTGTGGACTATTGGCAGGTTAGTTTTGTCACAAATTTCTACATTATTAGCAAAACAGGCTGCAGTGAAACAACAGGCTAGCATGGCAAAACAGTAGGCCATTTAAATGTCCTGCCTTTTCACAAAGGGTGCATTACATATGTGTACCAGCAGGTAGATTAT